CTGCAGGTTTCCGAGACCTGGCGGCATTTTCGAACGGGAAAGATTTCACAGCTTAACCCAAATGTGCGGAAACATTTCTGCGTTCTGGCATAAGTTGTTTAGAATTGGTGTTCCATCGTCGACAGTTTGATTGAACGAATTGTGTTTCGCAAAACTAACTGAACAATGAACAACCCAGGTAGGCTCGCGCAGTACTAAAAAGACACGAAAGATGGAATCCGATTGACAAAGCTTGTTTGTTTAGCTGTAAATAACAATAAATTCATCCAACAAATGATTTGATACTATTGTTGTGAGGTGTTACTCAAATTTGTGAGTAGTATGGTTGGAGTCCGCAAAAGGATATATATAACACAATTATTCACATTTTGGGGGGGGGCCATAAACGTTGGTATTATGGCATTCAATGTTCATTAGAATTATCATTGCTCCAGTAATCATTATATTGTTCACCCTACCACTAGGTACCGGGAATAAAATACCTGCTTTAAGTGACCACATTTGCGCTTATGTCTGCGCTTATTTTCGGCCTCCCTCTCCATTTCACCGTGACGCTGCGTAACAAACCTGCCAAAGCTTTATTTAGAGTTCCAGCTTGAATTGGGTGACTTCAAGATGTTGGATGTTTCAGTGCAACGATTTTTCGGGTAGGTAAGAGATGAACACGAAAGTTGACTTTATTATTTCGTGGCAAAATCCATTTCCTCTCTCTCGGCCTATATAAGTCGAGCAGTCTTCTTAGTTCCATGGCTTGGTTCTTGAGGATGTTTTAGAATACCACTACCGCCGGTATTCTTCGGTGAAAGTAAACTCCTCTAGCGCGACGCCGCCGCTTGTGTTCATAGTTTCATTCGTCAATCCGTTTCACAGAGTTACGCTCTCAGTTTTGTTCATGGTTCGTGCGCTCTTTGTGTTCATTTTCTGTTCTGTTTCTGTCTCATTTTACCGGTCACTGACTTCTTTTCAGATTCGTATCTCGAAGTGTCTTATAACCAGCGATACTCCTGATCTCGTGGGGCCCACCCAAGTTGGTGTGATGCACCCGTAAGAGCCGGTCCACATTTTGACCACCACGTCGCCTCTTCCAACGCTGTCCTATACATGCGAAGGTGGCACAAAGAAGTGAACGATGAACAGGCATATGCAAAACGTGGTCAAGCTGTTGGAAGCGGTGTCGGGTGATGATCCTAACCAGAGAGTGTCTATGAAAATCTAGCTCTCACGACAATGATCACTGACATTTTTATCCCGATGTTCCCGCCGGACACTGTCAATTTTTCGAAGACCTCAGTGATCGAATACGGACCGCCTTTTACCGTTCGCAGCGCACAGAACTCAGGTCTCTCATATGTAAAGCAAAACACCACAAACTGCGGTAATGTACCCCTTCACGTGAGGAAGAGACGAACTTCTTGGCAGTGTCACAGGTTTCATGGGTTGGCAAATTCCTTTTTTATCTTTCGCTGTGCACCATACATACAATCTTCTCCTGAACATCCTCCCTAGCTGTTGTCGAGTTGTCTAGAGCTAATTAGCGCAAAGTACAGACGCAATCTCCTGCTACGTCTCTTGCATCTGAATGATGCAAAGCACTCATCATATCTGGACGCAACCCCAGTCGCCCAGCGGTGGTTCACGTTTCTCAATTCCCCATTCATGTTTAAACATAGCAGAGGGTATTGTTCACTTTTGTTATTACAGTACTGTATTACTCTGGATAAACTGTGCAATCCAAGCCCCTTTTTTGTCGACGACTTGACTATTTTTCCACTTCCTGTTTTTTTTGCAGGTCACACTGTTTGTCTGGAATCACATTATTGTTTTCTTGCTTTCACCCGTCAGTCGTTTTGATGTTGCATATTCAAAGGTAAGTAGACTGTTAAATAGTTTTGTTGCTTTTGTTGTTGTTGTTGTTGCGGTGGTGGTGGTGGTGATGGTGGTAGTAATTATGATTTACTGGATGAGTGTTGTTCCAAGTTTGGGTGCTTTAAAATGATAGTATGATTTTTAAATTCAGTGCTTCGCACGTTGCTGTCGTTTAAAAATACACGTATAAAAACGTTGAAGAGATTTTTCTTTGTATAATGAATTCGTTTTTGAGGTAAGGCGTGAGTGAAAAAATAACTACGAAGCACTATACAGATGATTGATAATGTTAATCACACGATTTCAATGAATGAAACGGATTTCACTGAAAAACTTGAGCATCGTGCTCACGATTATTGAGTAAATTAACTTGTTTTTAGCCACGACTTGAGAAAAGCCTTCCTAGAGGGTCGAAACGTCACCAACGCCTTGTGTGTTGGTTTTTTTTCTTCGTTCGTCGTGACTAAGATAAGCTAACTTCTTCACTATACGGAGGTTCCGGCCTATTTGCGTCTCATCGGCAATAAGAATCCATCATCCCAACTTATTTTATTACACCGGTGTGTGATGGACAGCAGACGGGACGGAACCCCATAGTCACGAGTACCGGCAACCTAAGTCCGGAGACTTCGAGTGGCGAACCAAGTAATGTCCCGCTAGTTCAGGCGTGGTATAAAACAGTGCGACAGAAAAGCTGCCTACAACCAAATTTGGGTGGTGGTAGCGGGGCTCGGACTTCGGACCACAGGGTCCCAAAGCACGCCGGTGACAGCGACTAAACCACTGCGCTCGAGCCCGGAACTTACCGGATAGAGCGCAGACGCCACATCCCCTCGACCACCAAGCAACTCATCATCAGACCTTGGTGGTTTCAGTTTCAGTTTGAACAACCATTAGCCACGCGTATTCGTGCGCCGGATTTGGTTGCTGTCTTTTGGCTGCCCATTTGGATTAAGAATAGAAGAAAGGAAAATTGAAAGTGGAGTCGAAAAGAAAATGGAGAAGTTCAGTGGGCTAAGGTTGCAAAGAAATTGAGGAGATACACGAACGCCACTGTTAGAGTAAGGCTGGGTGCTGGA